GTTATGAACAAATCTATATAAATAAAATTAGAGTTTTGTCTGTACATTGCTCAGAATCATACATTTTTAGGTTATTTTTACGTTTTATACATTAAAGAAGCCGAAACAAGTCTCATCTAAATTTCTGTCTGTCTGTCTGTCTTCTGTCTGTCTGTCTGACACACTCAAGGTGGCATTTTACGCAATCTTCTCCAGGAAAACGAGAGTACCTATCAAGACCCAAGTCATTTTAATGTATTCACTGGATTGGCGAGAGTGTCTTTAGCCATTAAAATATGGTCTCACTACTTTGTAATTAAAATTACGGCCGTTCAAAAATGCAGTTTTGTGCGATTTTTGTCAAGTTTTCTTCCATTTTGTATCACATAATCATCTATGAAACAACGAACAGCTGTTCGGATCAAGATTATTTTTTCTAGCTGTCACTGAAATGTTTACAAATGTTGTTTGCAAACACCACAACCATTTCCGATCATGTTTTGAAGGCAAATCCCATCCAAGTGAGATTAAAAACGTTTTTATTACATAAAGGATTTAATTAATCGCAAGTGGAATAATATAGTGTAACCGTAAATTAAATAACTAGGCATCATCCAGGTCAGGAACCAGAAATATGTGTATAAAATTGTTTGGAGTTTTGATAACCAGAAAGAAGACATTGAATCAAGATTGAATCAGTGTTGTATACGGCTGGGAAACTTAAATTTACTAATGACCGTCGCCAATAACTAAGAAACAATGTTCCACTCATTGACAGCTCTTCAATGGCGGTTGTGTAAAGTGTAAAGCAAAAAATTACAACTGCAGTGGGTGATTGTAACAGAGGTTTACGGGTGATGCTGAACTCGATTTTCCAATATGTCACTTTCTGTTCCTACCATTGACTATATAAAGTCAATAGTTCCTACTCACCGTGTGATGCAATCGCTGGACCATACAGCCAATAGGCCCATAGCCCTTCTCTTGGGTACGTGTGGTACGTATGCTTACCCAATTATTTATAACAACCCTTTCGACAACGATCCTTGATACCGGTACTTTTCCATAGAATACACAGCCTACCTAGGTACTTAAGAAATAAAATTTTAAATGTCCAAAAACCCAACGTTGTGTGATTTTTGTCACATTTCCTTATAATATTAATATATATACCAGCAACCATTGTTTAGAGAATACGTAATCTATTAAATAACAGAAAGTTATGTTGTATAAGGTTTTTTTTTCAAACTGACACCGATAAGTTTACATTAAGAGTTGTGTACAAATAAAGCAATTAATGGGAAATAACTTTGATTGCCGATAACTTTTTACGAGAAAATCCAAAACCAAGAGATCAATAACCTTGATTAACGCATATAATTGGTCGGCTGTACTACAGTTCTTAACTGTAAACGTTGGTTTTTGGTACGGTACTGGTTCTTTTCCTTTTAACCTTTAGTAGCAGCAAGAATCATTTTTACGTACCAACACATCACAGTAATTTACAAATTAGTTATTGTTGGTGTTGCACCTTATTTATTACAGGCGTAGGCCTATTCAATTTAATTGATGTCTTAACTGTATAATTTTTGCTTTTTCTGTCTGGATTCCAAAATGTTATGCTAAGAAAACTATAACGCATTTTAGTAAAACATTTATTCAGCAAACCATCATGAATCGTTCAAACACTTTGAACGTTGTTTATGTATCAATAGTTCGTGGCCTATTTTGGTAATTTTTATTACAAATTACCAATCTAAATCGTCTATAGTAGGCCTACTGTACTTCATTTCATATAGCAAACCGATTCAGATAGCATTTCGACAGAATTTCGAGTCATCTCCGGTCCAAGCAAATATAAATTGTTATGATCAAATTTTATGGCATTAACAAAGATTTCAAGTACTAATTTTATATGTACCTTTTTATGCTTAAAGCGTAGCAGATTCCCTAATTAAGTTCGGTATTTTTGTGTGTATTTATGATGGTAACGCATTAATGTCCTTGTTTCTCAATGTTTCACGGAAAGGACAAGAGCGCCTTGATAATGAAAATGTCAACCCGAATAAAGTGTTAAATTAAGAGGTTGAGGTAGTACCTTAAATACTTTTAACCATTATGTTATAGTCCTTTAAATTCTGAACAAAATTGTACAAATCCCATTTCCGTATATTTACTCTCACCGCTTACACATGATAAAGGTTGTTGACAAACTTATGGGAGGAAGTATGTGTCAGAATGCTGATACCGTTTATTTAGTTTAATCATTGGATATAACATATGGACCAACAAGATCCGGGTGACATTTAATTGCGAAGCATTAGTTTTGGCTTGAAACTGTCAGATACTGTATTTGCAAAGGAATAGTTTTGTCAGCATATCTGAAAGTATGCAAACCAACTGCTGTGCTTTATATAAGAAGGTTATATAAGGTTAACCCTTTCAGTGCTATGAAACGATATATCGTTGTTTTAAAAAATCTCTAAGGTATATAGAGAGGAAGGTTATTTTAACAAAAAATAGCAAAACGGCCATTGATGACCTGCATGTTCATAGAATACACTATCAACCACTTAGCTAAAAGATTCGCCCAATCCGATGATTTTGAGGTGTATGTCTAAACCAAGGATTATGAACACCTCACTATGCCCCAGTGGTTGTAGTATATCGCTACAAACACACAGGTCACCAATTATTTGCCACACAGGACGGGATTCGAACCCGAGCAGACGAATGACACTGGCCAAGTGACACACGCCCTAGCCTTCTCGGCTATCTGTGCTTGAAGACTGGGGAGTCAAAACCCGGTATTTAAGCTGTCGCCGACGATTGCGAACAGATGGCGCTGTAGATGGTTGTTCAATGTGTTACTAGGTAGCAGCACCAGTTAGTCACAGACTATTTAGATGCAATATTTTAGTTTAAACACAACAGTGATCATAAATGTGTTCCTGAGACTTTGCTGCAAAACATTAGTTTCCCTAAAATGGCTATATTACGATAACCTCGTCCAACTAAATCAAGGTTAAATTCAATATTACATTGTAAACTATATGTCGTTTGATTTTATGAGATTTTGGTTTCAAATAATGCTATCAGAACATAAAAATGTATAGGAAAACCAGGAAAATTACAACAAAAACTAAGTTTTATTTAATGTTTACTACAAATAGGGGGATTTATCTTTCTTATATATTTTCTTATTGTGTTATTATTCAAAATTAGCCTAATTAATAAAATAGTGACAACATGACAGTTAAAATTCAACAACAGGTAATGGAATTAAAAGGCAAACAAAAAAGTCTTACAAAATATGAATTATTGGCCTAGCACTGAAAGGGTTAAAGAAGGTTATATGCTTTATATAAGAAGGACTGACTATGATAAGATCCCCGTGCGTAGAACGGGCACACAGCTAGTAGTAAATAAATAGAAATGTAAATAATAAATAAGTAAATTATCATATGATTTTGGAATTTTGTCTAGTAGGCTATATAGACACTGCTTAGGTGTTGCTTTCTTTTGATTTATTATATAAGATTTGTTCACATATTAGGTTTTCTTTTTGAATTTGCATTGTAAGTATGTTTTCAGGATCTTTTTTATGGTTTCTATATTGTGGAATTCTTCTTTAATGAATAATTTGTCTTAGTTTGGATCAAATTAAATTACTGATAAATTTATATATATAAATATATATATTAATAATATATTTATCTAAATAATATATAAATCTATTTATATATATATATATATGTGTGTGTCCACTAGCACGATAACTCGAGCAAAAATGATCCAATTTCGATGAAATTTGGTATATACGTGTAAACCTACATTTATTCAAACGAGTTCGCGAACCAGCATGATCGGACTATGGGGACGGGGTTTTATGGGGTAAAAATAGGTTTTTCCCATTTTCGACCCAAAAAACATAAAATTTAGCAATTTCTTTCCAAACCATTTTGTAGAGCTTAAAAAAACAAATAATTTAGTATATTGAAGCGTTATTATGCGCCTAATGGTTACGGATAAAATTCCAAAAAAATGTAAATTTAAAATTCCCATGTTATTCTTATGGAGAACAAGTAAACAGTTGTAGTTTGCTTGTGTATGAACATATTTTGATCAAATTTGGGAATTTTTATTTCTTACTAACTATTAACATTAAAAAAAAACTGTTTTACCCTCCCTGATGTAGTAAACCTAAGTACCGGTACTTGTTAAACTAATTCTATTTAAATAGGAAATAAATGTTATATTTTTAAGTAGACATTAGTAGACATTTAAGTAGACTTGTTAAACTAATTCTATTTAAATAGGAAATAAATGTTATATTTTTAAGTAGACATTTTAGTGTAACTCCAATCAGGCAAATGGAAATTCGCTTAGTGTGCAGGTTTGCTGCGGCGGGGGTATTTTATGAGTTAATACCGTAACTTTTCATACAACAGATCTATAGAACATAATAATAATAATAATATAAGAATAATTATTATTCTTTTTTTTGTTCTCTTCCCGTTGCTAAGCACTGGTATGGCAGCTATATAATATGTAATATGAATTTGAACGTATGGTGTTTTTGACATCAAAACGAAAAAGTAAATCGGTCTCCTGGGTCTAGGTCTTACCATGAGGCCTACGGTTATTGCTTATTCCCTATAGGGAAATTCGCTAAAAATATCCAGACGTATACAAACATTAGAACGAATAGTGCTTTGGCCTCTGGGGACATCAAAATTAAAAAGTAAATCAGTCTCTGGTTCAGGTCTTGTCACGCCACCAATGATAATAACTACTTCCTGCAGGGATATTTGCTAAGTACAGTATTATGTCATCATATCTAACTCTGGAGTAACTTTTTGTAAATTTTCCCAAAGGATGTGCACAGAAAACCGTTAAACATACATTTGATTTAAATCAGATATTTGTCAAAAGTGAAAGTGGGAAGTGGGTTCCCAGTATTGTTAAAGTGCGGCACAGCTTTCAATGACATTCATTAACCTTTAATTTTCCTCTCCTAGGTTCTTGAAGTACATGAAGAAGTTCAGAATGCATTGTCTGGGCCTGTAGCTTCCAGTTTGGACGAGGATTTAGAGAAGGAATTGGCAGAACTTCTGCTTGAGGATAAGAAAGTTCTTCCATCTCCAAGCTTGCCAGGTATACTGAATGTCCCACAAAATTTCATTAAACCAATTGATACCCTGCAGGGTTAAGCAGAGTTGGTATCTTCTTAGCGCCCAATGTTACTTAATTAGGATAACAAGAATACCTATAGGTACCATTATCTCCTAAAATATTTCACCCATCAATACTAAATTGCCCTACATTTTCAAATGGATATTATTAGACATAGACATATTTTATTTGCACATAACATTCTTTACATGTGTTGGTACATGCAGAATAGGTGCATTACTGTCAGAGTTAAATTATCAGAATATAAAAAAATAGTAATCAAGAAGATACTAACAGAAGAGAAGAAGAAGAAGAACTAACAAAATTGAATGATAAAACTATTCTAAACTAAATGGGTGTTGTGAAAATTTGCAATTGAATAAAAGGCTCTGTCAATTAAGTGTTCACCTTAAGGCGCCGCGCGTGCCCCGGCAAAAGTAATACAACAAAATTGAAAATATTTGGTTAGGTGTACATAACGTATTTGGAAAGTTATGTATAACTGAATTTTGAATATTACGTTGTATGTATTGTTTGATCAAATACATATTATTTTACACCAATCACTTTGTATATTTGCAACGTTTTCCCAAAGTAAATATTTGATGAAAATGAGGTTGCTGGATTTGCTTCTATACTAATTTTAGTTCAGGCCCGTTTTGACCCTGTCAGCGCCCTATGCACAACTAATAGTAGCGCTCCTTTGCAATATATATACAGGGTGTCCACCGACCAGGAAAACCGGGAGTCCGTAATTATACTTGAGTTTTTTTTTAACCGGGAATTATGCGTGAATTTTGTATATCAACCTGGAATTTTCAATTTACCGCCATTGCGAATGACAACAGTGACATTGCCGTGACCGCAGGAGACGACAATATGTCTACACACGGCCGCGAGGGATGATCAAAATTATGTCGCGATCACGCAAGACAATGATAATGCTCAGATGAATACTATGTACAAACAACCTCGGGGGACGATATAATGATGTCTTCATGGCAGCGAGGGGTGTGGTCAGTATTTTATCGCCATAGCGCAAGATGATGATAATGTCCTAGTACAGGTAAAATAGTACAAAAACACTCCATATCAACAACAAAATTTGTACATTCATGAAATTTCACCCGTGAGTTACTAATAATATGAGAAATGAAGATCCGATGAGTCCCCAAAATTTTGGGCGTCCTAAGGCCCTTTTTGGGGCCCTTTTTGACGTCCACATAGACTAACCGCCCGTGCGTGGATTGTTTACAGCAAAGCAAGGAGTGAGCCGGTACAGTACAAAGGTGAACTGTACTGATAAAATGTTTATGGCAGTGGCCAGGATCCGAACCCATGATATCGCTGCCTTGGGCCCGGAGTCCGCGACGCTACCGTCTGAGCCACCGACTCACTCAAATTTACTGCAATCATGCAAATACAACCGCCAAATTTTTTTTATTTTCCAATTTTTTGGCACCCCACAAAAAAACAAATTGCCTTGTGCCCTAGGCACGTGCCTACCCCCTGTTTTAGTTAGTAATAATAGCCTTATATTGCACCCCACTGTGGAGTTGAAAGCCCTGTCCCAACTTAACTATCTATATAAATAAAATTAGAATTTTTTCTGTATATTGCTCAGAATTATATATTTTTAGGTTATTTTTACGTTTAATACATTAAAGAAGCAGAAACGAGTCTTATCTCTATTTCTGTCTGTCTATCTATCTGTCTGTCTGTAACACTCAAGATGGCATTTTATGCTATATTCTCCAGGAAAACGAGAGTACCTATCAAGATCCAAGTCATTTTATTATATTCACTGGATTGGTGAGAGTGTCTTTAGCCATTAAAATATGGCCTCACTACTTTGTAAATAAAATTACGGACGTTCAAAAATGCAGTTTTGTGCGATTTTTGTCCAATTTTTACCACATCATCAATGAAATAACGAACAGCTGTTCGGATCAAGATTATTTTTTCTAGCTGTCACTGATGTGTTTACTAATGTTTAAAAATACCGCAGCCATTTTCGATCACGTTTTAAAAGCAAATCTCAACCAAGTGAGATTAATAATGTTTTTCGTACATAACGGATTTATTTAATTGCAAGTGATATTATATAGTGTAATAGTGTAACTGTAAATGAAATTAAATAACTAGGCATCATCCAGTTCAGGAACCAGAGATTCTTTGTGTATAAAATTGTTCTTGACTTTTGATAACCAGAAAGAAGACCTTGAATCAGTGTTGTATAGGGCTGGGAAACTTAAATTTATTAATGATCGTCGCCAATAGCTTAGAAACAAGGTTTCCACTCATTGACGGTGCTTCAATGGCGGTTTTCTAAAGTGTAAAGTAAAAAATCACAACTACAGTGGGTGATTGTAACAGAGGTTTACGGATGATGCTAAACTCGCTTTTCCAATGTGTCACTTTCTGTTCCTACCATTGACTATGTATATAGTCAATTTCCTACTCACCGTGTGATGCAATCGCTGGACCATACAGCTAATAGGCCCATAGCCCATCTCTTGGGTACGTACGCTACGCCTACCCAATTATTCATAACAACCTTTTCGACGACGATCCTTGATACCGGTACTTTTCCCTAGAATACACGGCCTACATACTTAAGAAATAAAATTTACAAACTTCCAAAAACCCAAAGGTGTGTGATTTTTGTCACATTTCCTCCTAATGTCTAATGCCTATACCAATCATTGTTTAGAGAATATGTAATCTATTAAATAACAAAAAGTTGTTTGTATAAGGTTGTTCCTCGGGACTTGATTAATGCATATAATTGGTCGGATGTACTATAGTTCTTAATTGTAAACATTGGTTTTTGGTACTGGTTCTTTTCCTTATTGCCACTTATTTCCAGAATTGCAGCAAGAATCGTTTTTACGTACCAACAAATCACTGTAATTTACAAATTACACGTTTAAATTCTCCAATGTTAAATATGTAAACTTAAAAACCTTTATCAAAGTATTATAAACAACTAGAGTGCCTGTTGCTCAAAATCCAGCAATTGTCAAGTACCGTTATTATACAGGCGTTATTTAAGACCTGCAGTCATAATTTTTGATTTCAATAAGTTTAAAAGACTCAAAGCTTATGTAACTAATTGAAATACTCACTCTATTAATAACAAGATGAAATAATCATTTTTTAGAAGCCGGCCTTATTTTTTAGTGTTATATACAAATGTTTCCTGGCTTATAGCTGTTACCAGTAAACATTTCTTGCATGTATTCATTTGATCTGACATTAGGTAGGTTTTCTTTACCACTATGACAACATGATTGGTATATTCTTCATGAGTTTGCGACGCTCTCTACAATGCACTGGAAAAAAAATAATACAAGTGCATGCAGTCGCAAACGTTTGCCGGGGATAGCTCAGCCTACAATGGCTGGGTATTGTTCCAGGGTCTGCGATAAGGTCAGGGAAACCACTAGGCCAAAAGCCGGGTCTAACGACCGGGGTATAGGAACGACCGGGGTCTAAGCCGGGGGTATAGGACTGGCTCATACACGGGCACTGTGAACAAGTCAAAAACAAGTCACCAAAACAAACGTGCAATAATCACTACCAGGCCTACGCCGATTCTCCACACTCCTAGGGGGTCGTTGCTGACTACGCAACTCGGGCTTCGTCCTAACTATCCAATAGTTAAGCCCAGAGTGCCTAAAACACGGTGAGTTACACGACGACTTGCCGATAAAAACCACAACGCGAGTTATCACCAGGCGGGGTCTACTAGGCCACTATAACCCAATACACGACTCTATTGCCCAAGCTAAGAATCAAACAGTTCACTCAATAATCGTACCACATAATAATATACAAGTACACTATAGGTAGAGTGACTACACCACTAGTAGCTGGTCTCAATAAATACCAAGCCAAACAAGCAAAATTAAATGGCAATTGCACTACTATTAAATTATTGAGCTACTTAGTAGCAGATAAATAAATATTAAATACGTTCCAAACACTAGATAAATATATTATCTGATAGCCGGTACTCCGCTACCCTAGCTACCGAGATAACGTGTTGGATTACTAAGCAAGCTGTTCAGGTTAAATTAAAATAATTAAATGAATAAACAATAACAACCCTACTACTGCTACTGCTACTACCAACTTTATGTTACTTAGCTGGGCTTCTGTTAATAGGCTAATAATATTAGCTACTAGCCTACTGGCCACGTGCTTTCAACTACGCACGCTAAATCATGCAGCCTAGGTTTGTCGGGCTTCGGAGTTGTTAGTAATTTAACTAACTCTTGGTACAACGCAAAATAATATCTACTACAGTCAATAAAATATATTATTTGCGCTTTAGCACCTGCCCAGAACCGTCAGGAATATACCTTGATATTATTCCTGACTAATAAATGAATCCTAACTACCGTCAGGCTTTAACCAGCACAGTTACAACTCAACCAATAAAATATAAGATTAATATTAAATCAAATCTTAAACCAAAATGTAAGGAACGTCGTCCACTCACCAACAGTGGGTCTCAACACCCAACTTAATCACCGACACTCACTGTCACCTCACACAACACCAACCACGACGACACCGATGTCACCCAAATCACTGGACGTCTCACTAGACACACGCTAACTGCTCACTCTTCGGGATCCACGACTCGAATGTCCTGGAATGCTATCCAGTAGTCCCGGGATACCCAAGCTTATCCGAACTGATAAGCCGGGTCAAAGGGCGCTAGCCAGGTTCGCCGCCGCCGCTTGCTTACCTCAACAATCGGTGCGCGGCCAAATAGCAAATAATTACCCCCCTAGGAAAAATAACTCGTTACAAGTTTTTACTTGCAAAATAAGTTGCATAGCACAACTGGTAAAAATTATTCATCTCTCCAAGTGATTGTGTATCTGGATTCCTTACTCTTAGACCAGGCCTCTCTTCTTCTCTTCTCATACGTATAAGATTTCTTCTTGACCTCCTCCAGGTTCAATTTCTTCTTTAAACTCAAGAAATTTTCCGTTCTTCCAACAAAACTGATTAACTGTTTGAATTGGTCTATAACCTCCTGAATTTTACAAATATTAATATTTTCTTCCTAGAAGCTGGTGAGTTTCTTTTTATATACAGCTGTTTTTTGTTTTTAAATTTGTTCAATGTAATTCTTATGGTGAAAACCCGACCTTTGAAAGGGTCTCAGGCCCTTAAGGGTAGGAGCTTTTAAATTTCTAAAACCTTAATGCAATTAAACTAAGAATTGGGCCGAATCTTTTGACACCTTAAACGTTGAAATTGGTCCTCGAATAAGGGAGGAGTAGTGTTCACAAAAAACAGCCCTCACGTATTAATATAATAGAATAGATAAAAGGGATGGCAATGCCTTAATATTTTTATCTTTTGTTCTATACCCACACAATCTAACATAAATTATTAAGTGAATAATAACCGTGCGTGCTTTTTCGGGTGTTCAAATGCCCCTCAATTTGTCATCAACCCACAACATAACTGTCATTAAAAGAAGGAACTCCAATAATACTAATGCGAAAGAAGGAACTCCAATAATACTAATGCGAAACTTAAATCCACCGATGTTGTGCAACGTTACCAGACTGACAATTAAAAAAATGAAACCAAAATTGATTGAAGCAAAAATTTCCAGTGGTAAGTTTAAAGGAGAAATATTCCTAATCCCAAGAATACTGATGATTTCATTCGAATTACCCTCTGAATTTAAGCAACTACGATTTCCTTTATGTCTTGCTTTCGCAATCACCATAATAAGGCACTAAGGGAATCCCTGACTACCGTCGGTTTAAATTTAAAAATTGCATGCTTTTCACACGGAGCTGTATGTGCTCACTTGGTGGTAGGTACACCTAAAAACTTATATATTTATACACCTAATGAAAAAACAAAAAACATTGTTTATTATCCAATGGCAATTAAGTAAAATATTCTATTTTTATTTTTGGTATACACTTTTATTATTCATCGTATAGAACAAATTACTATTTAAAATAATAGTTGTTAAGCGCAGCAACGCGCGCCTGGTAACTGCTAGTCTTAATATAAACCAATATTGCAATGTCTTATTTCACCCGACCAGCTGACCTTGGGACTCAGACGATGACTCGTGGTAGAGACAATCACTTCAAATATGCAACCGATTTCTTATATACATTTAGGGGGTTAGGTCTCGGATTACTGGGACGGGTGGCGTCGTCCTGTAATCCAGCTACTAGGAGGTCACGAATTGTGGATATTTATAGGCATGCACTGTGAATGCGATGCTCCCTGGTGTGGATTAACGTCCGCACGAGTGAGTACTCGACTATCCGCAGTACTATCCTGATGATTAGACCAATTCGTTAACTACCAAGGAAAGAATGTGGTTCGGATTCCACTCTAAACTGTAGGTCCCTTAGTTGCCATTTGCTGTTTGGGCTATTAATTAACAGCTGTGTCTTAAGGAACATGTCAGCCTTAGTCACTAACAAGACTACAAGATCGCGCCACTCATCCAACACTCATCCTTCACTCATATTTGGGTTAAAATACGCACATAGTGGCGTCCCCATCTCATCAAGAAATTGTGTAAATCTTTTAGAAATATGTGCTGGTAGGTCATTAATAGATACTAGGGGCATGTAGGGACATAAGTCCCTAAAAAGCTCAAAATGTAAAGCAACTTATTTTAATATTCAAACAAACTAAGAATCAAATAATTTATTTGTAAACCTTATCTTTGTCTAAAAAAAGTATCTCTGTTTGCTTTGGTTGTTGTTATCTATACATATGAAATCCATTGTTTGTCCCTTGCGTTACTAAACGACCATCCGATCCTGATGCAACTTTAGGGAAGTAAATAAGTGGGTACTATACACAATGAACAGTTTTATTAGCCACATTGAGTACATTAATGGTTTCAGGGTTCCATTTCCCAGTTGTCGAAGCCAATATTGACAGTTTACATGAAAATCTTCGGTTTGGTTATTGGTTTTCAAAAATTCTCAATTATAGATAATGTTATCCCTGGTTTTAATATAGTATACACTATACTTACAGAGCTTTGCAGAGTTAACTGGCTAAGAAGTAAACCAACTACGTGTATTGAATACTGGTTTGGAAATAAAGCGTGATCAACTATATTAAAGTAAACAGAAATCAGCTGTGTATGTCTTCCAATGCTATTCTTATGGAGAACATTTTATGTTATATCTAAATATTGGTTAACATTTTGGGAATTCCACTATTTTTCCCGCCTTACACGGGATAGAGACATTTAATTTGAGCCCACTCCCGTCGTTCTACGACATCCCAGTCTCCCACAGTTTTGATCAAAGAATAGCCTTACGTAATTAATACCTAGATATTAGAAAGAGTGTGGGTCCTAAAATGAATCCTTGAGGGATGCCAAATTTTACTGCAGCCCAGTCCAAGTAAAAGCTCTGAACATGTTTTTTGTATTTTTATCCACACTATACACCTACTAGACTAACTCCAGGGCAATACTTCTTGTATCAGTTTATTGTTTTTTTTAATACAAATTAAAAATTCTTCCACTTCTCAATAAGCTAAATTATGATGCCTTTAAGTCCTGTGCATTTAAAATGCCAATTGATAAATTTTACTTATATGAACTGTTACTTTGTGTGACCCACTTTCAGTTAGCTTAAAAGGTTATAAGTATATAATTTTTTTAAATATATTTGTTCCAGACTTGCCAGAGCCACCGACCCATTCTCCTGATTCGTCTTCAATAAGAGTTTATAGCAAGAGTATCAAACAATTTTCACAATAATGTTACCCTAACTAAAAATATTGAAGTATAAACGTGTAAATATAATAGTTATATTTTACTAATAATGTATATTCTTATTGTATAACTTCAGTATGCAAGTAGACAGATACCAAAATTATTTGAGCTCTTTTTCCCCTTTCAATTTATATTCACAAAAGAAAGGATGTGTTTTATAAAATCATGTAAAATTTTGCCATTTTGAGATAGTTAAGGAAAACATATTTTCATTGTAGGAAGCCCTTTCCTCACAGATATAAATTTCATACACTAATGAATTATTGTTGAATTTCATCTAGCATAGTTAAGCTGTCATGTAGATTAGATATGATTGAAAATACACAAGCCCAAGACCATCGATTAGGCCCGATGATTAAGGACCAGGGTTACATACAGACTAAAGTCAAATTTAGTTTAGTTTAATTTAATGGTTTAGAAAATTTGCAGGGCTGTGCGAATCCAGAAATTTGGGTTCAAATCCTAAGAATCATAGCTGTACACAGTGCTCGATTTGTAAAAAATCAATCCGGAACTACTGTATAACCTATTTAATATGATTTATACTTATCTACGTCAACATTTTTATCTTACCGGAACTCTGTTCCGCCACATTCCCCTCAAATCGAGCACTGGCTGTGCAGATTTGATCGAATCCGAATATTTTGATTGGTCCCAAGTTGAATCCGGGTCTAATCCGAATCTCAAATTTACAGCTGTTATCGAATCTGAATTTTTAAACCAATTCCAATCCAAATCCGAGGAAAGTCAGCAGTTTTTACCAATTTTCACATTTTTAGACCACATTTCTGGGCTGAAATAGGAAATTGCCTCAAAAGTGCCTGAAGAAAAATCCTTGAAATGGGCCAAATAAAAAAAAATGTAAAATTTAGACCTGCCTACATATTTGAAGTTTTGAAACTAAACAATTAGGTAGGCATAAGTTAGGCCTACAACCTAGGCCTAAGTTACTCGCTAAAAGTGATGGACTACCAATATGTGTAGTCTAAATCATAGGCCTAGCCTATACACTTATTCCTCTACATAAGTTAAGCCGAAGTCTGTATGACTATTACAAGTCAACTCACACTGTGAGGTTAATTTTACTGATAGCCAAGATAGGGTTCAAATGCGACCTACACAAATGTGCCTAAAGCTTAACACTAAGTTATAACTTACTATGGTCAGGTTCTTAACACGAACCAAGCCATAAGCAAATCAGAGTACAAAAGTATTTTTTGCTACACAACTGTGAAATAACCTGTTTTTGTTACATTTTTATCACCTGAGAAAATCCATCATTACATTGTTTACTACGGCAAAAGAATGCTTACAATGCGAAAGTAATGTTTACTATGCCAAAGTAATGTTTACTATGCAAAAGTTATGTTTACTGTCTTTTTTGGATTTTGCCGACGTAAACAAACACAGATTTGTTATTGTTTTGTCAACTGTTTTAATTTTCAACAACCAAAACTGTACAACCAAAGGAAATATTAATCTGTTTTAGCGAATTTCCCATATAGGGAATAAGCTATTACCGTAGGTCTCATTTTACTTTACTTTTACTTTTTGATTTATTTTTTCGTTTTGAGGTCCCCAGAGGCCAAAAACACCATCCGTTCAAATTCATATATATATATATATTTATAGATGTGTCCGTTAGCGCGATAACTCGAGCAAAATTGATCCGATTTTGATGAAATTTGGTACAAACGTGTAAACTTACATTTATTCGAACGAGTTTGCGAACCAGCATAATCGGACCATGGGATCAGGGGTTTATAGGGGGTTTTATGGGGTAAAAATGGGTTTTTCTCATTTTTGACCCTAAAAACTTTAAATTTCTAAATTTCTCTCTAGACCATTTTGAAGAGCTTAAAAAAACAAATAATTTAGTATATTGAAGTTTTTTTGAATGTACATTGACTACGGAGAAAATTAAAGAAATTGTAAATTTAAAATTCCCATGTTATTCTTATGGAGAATAAATAAACTGTTCTAGTTTGCTTGTTTATGGATATATTTCAATCAAATTTGGCAATTTGGCTTATTTCATACTAAGCTACAGTATCAATATTTCAATTGAAAAAACACACCTCAACATCTTTCCCTTAGCAGCAAACCTAACTACTCACTAAAATTAATGTTATTTAAATAGGAAATAAATCTGAAAATTTATAGGGAATATTTTAGTTGAAATCAAGCCGGGTGAATGGAAATTTGCTTAGTATGCAGGTTTGCTGCGACGGGGGTATTTAATATTGATGCTTTAACCTGAAAAATGCCATGAGTTTTGTAATATTCAAGCAAATAGTTATTAGTTTTTGTAGTATAGCGAAAAGTAACGTTCAAAACACGAGTGAAAGTGGGTCTCCGGCATATACATATTCTAGACCATTTAAAGTCCTCGTTAAATCTCAATGTGACCCGAAAGGGACCTTATCTTCCCGGCCAAAATGTTACGGTGCAGCTAGTTTTAGACATTTGGGTCAAAAAACCACATTTTAATCTATGATTTTTATTGTTTCTTACTCTAAGTAAGTTTCCCAACAATATGTTGTCCATCATACACTTGCATTTAATGTGGAACATGGTTAAATTATTTTTTTATAAACCCTTGCCGGGTACAGAAAAGGGACCTTAACTTCCTCAATGCTATTTATATGGTTAGAAGTTAAGGTCCCTTTTGTTTGTGTGTCTATTACACAGAATTCTTAGTGAAATTCTTCAGAAGCAGCTTTTTTTGCTTCCGGCCAACTATCTTATCAACTCCTGGGGCGTAAAGAGGGTAATATATAACTCACCCATAATCCAGGTGATGAAACCAGTCCTATGGATCCTGGACCAAGAAACACTAGAGAGTAGAGGCGTGGGTGGATGGCGGATGACGACGTCTTGGAAGAGGGTAGCCAATTAGTAGAGATGAGGGAAGTGTGCACACTTTTGGGTAACACTTAATGTGGGGAATCCAGTAATCCACTAAAGTTGGCACTTGACACAGGTTCCTGGCGCTCGTGACGAAGACGCGGTAGGCTGAACTGCTTAGCGGCGGCAGCGATAACGTACTAAATAAGTAATTTTAAAAACAACTTTTACTGAGTTAGACATCGATACAGTTTTAATTGTTTGTGACGATCGATAGAAGAGAGATAAAGAGTCCGAGAAGCGGTTTTAGCGGTAAAAGTTTATAAAAAGAGAAAGTCTAACGAACGCCACATTTTTTAACCAATAGGATTCGTCCTGCATCGGGCAATACAGCCGAGATAGTGTGTGTATTTTGTGTAGGCTTGTGTGAGTGAGACTCTAACATTTGATACAACAATCCTTAATCGAATTGAAATGATATTTAAAAATACAGATTTGGTTTGGAAATAAGCTAATAACTAATTGAACAATAATTATGTTAATAAATATAGTAATAATTAATTAAATACAGAACATCCGGGCCCTCTTGAATCTACTTGGAGATTCAAAATAAAATACAAAAGGAACACATTTCAGACACTTAAGACATATAATTATAACTAAAGCTATATACATCAGTTGTTAGTCTATTCACAATCAAGAGGCAGTGGAAAGACTTTTACAGCGGGTCGAGTGAGGATGCCGGTTGCTGTCTTCAAGTGTACCACTTGTACCACATTGTCTTTGCCAGGAGACACACCGATAATGCGGGCCAAAGTCCAGGTCAGAAGAGGGGTAGATTGCTGTTCCACTAACACAAGATCACCGACTATGAAGGGCGTTATCAGCACCTACAAAATTCGTACCGCAGTCGCTGTACAAGTTGGTACATAAGCGCTGAACTGTTTGCGGCAAATTGTTAGCTCTATCAATATCGCTGTCAAAACTTATCGTTTGTAGGTTAAATTTAAATTTAATTTAACTGTCATCACTTAACCAAACCAACCAAACTTGCTAAAAATGAAAAATCGAATGAAGGCCCTTACTAATAAAAAAAAATAGTTATATTCATAAAATAAAAATATAAATGCCTAAAATTCAATTTTTAAAGTTTTTTATTATAAAATAAAACTATCATAACCTAACCAAACCAACCAAACTTGCTGATATTAAAATAATCGAATAAAGGTTTACTAATCGAAAAATAGTTCTGATCAATTATAAATTCTAACAAAAGATGAACAGTTAAGAAGTAATCGAATTCTAAGCGAAATCTTTCACAAAAAGGTAACGCCTCCGGCTCGATTCTCCACCCCTCCTCCGGTGACCACTACCCTCAGGCCATAAATCAGGAGATTAACCCAAACAAAGATCTGGGCCGCTGTCCGTCTCCCCTTTTGGGGAGTAATACAGGATGAACATAGGGGAGCGAAGAATGCTTAATGCGGCCGCCTACTCGGACTATTCCGTGCTCATCGAGGAAGGGTGACAAGCGTTTATACTTAGAGTTACAGTTTGCTGATTTCTGGAGATTGGCGATTTCTTCAGAAAAACTTGATTTTAGAACAAGTCGGATAATTTTTGTGGTTGATGACTTGAGTTCATTTGTAGTGAGAGAACTTCGCAGCTTGTTCGATCTTCTCACATTGTAAATGAAGTGAAGGGTAAGCTGTAATGCATATGAGTTTAGTCCGAGAGGAAAATCTTGTCAAAAGATCCCATTCAGGGTTGGAGTTCGAAGTGAAGACAAAAAGTTCAGCCCTTTTTTTTCTTCTGAGTTATTGAGCGAAGCTCACTTTGTAACTTCTTTGTAAGGGCATCAGAATGTAATGGCTTGACCAATTGATATGAAATTTGGCCAACAGCTAAAGAATACTGAGTACAATGTTTTGGTAAAAAAATATTTGCAAATTTCCTTCTGGATTTTATTTTACGGGTCACGCAATTTTGCTTGTTATTTTAATGTAAGTTGAAAGAAAAATTATATTGGGTTTATGACAAATGGGTTTATCTCGTTTCATTTAAATAAGATAAACATATGTTAATTGTTTGTAACTGTTTTGTTTACATTTCAATGTTTACTTTAATTCTAGGTTAAAGTTGGAATGTAACAGTTTATCAATGGAAGTAACAGTTTTGCTATATTTGTTTTGAGCATGCCTCAAAGGCCACGTCGTAATATTGGTCGTCGCACCAATAATGCAAATATTGTAAGAG